TATATATATATACAAACACACACACACACTAAAATTAATATTTTAAATATAAAAATAGAAGTTAATTCAAATTTTTATTTCAGCTTTATTTTAATTAACTTTTTTTTTTAGTTAACAACAATGGTTCCATCAAGGGTATGATTTGTTGAATTCATGTACTGTAGTACATGGAAACTACTCCTGGATCTACTGGAGCTAGAAATTAGCATGTCTTTGCTTAAAAGATTTGTCATGCTGCATTTAAAGTTCACATGATTAACAGATCCAACCGTAAGGGATCTAGTCTCTTCTTATGTGTAGTTTAGGTTCATGTTTCAGTAGCTGTTGGGTTTTTAAATATTTCGTTCCACCCCCTTTCAGCACCGTGTCTTCAAATGGCTTCTTTTTTAGCATCCTCACCTTGGTGAGTACTGACCTAAAAATATACTCGATCTGACCTTAAGAAAGACCGCCATCTTCCTGTCACTTCTACAAAACATGAGTTACTATTAAGGGGACCAAGGAAAGTAGTTCAGCTCAGACAACCTATTAACTGATCAGTGATTCACACTGGTTTTGTTTTGGTTTTTATTCTGATGGGACTCATGTTTGCTTGATTTTGTCTTCCTTTCCTTTCATTAATGGTGTTTGATTAGTCAAGCATTGTCGAATGAATTTGAATTGAGGTGGCATACAGAATGCAGAATTTGAATGTAAGGAAGTAGAGTTAAAATTGATTAAAATTAATTGAACTGTAATTTCCAGTGTTATTTTAGTATCGTTGAGATGCTATTATAGTTTTTATTAATATTTTCAATCGTTTTTATTTTTTCCATTTTCATTTAAATGTTAAGGTTTTTATTATTTACTTTAGTTTTTGTTATAAAAATATGCAGTGTATATTTATGTGTATAAAGTTTTTATTAATTTTAAAACTAAATTAAAGCTGGAATATAATTTTTTTAATTTTTTGTTTTATTTTAGTTAACATTTACTTTTATTTAAAGTTACGGAAATGTTTTTTAATTGTTTTAATTTTAGTTTCAGTTTTAATTAACTATTACAAACCTGGTTATTTTTAATGGTTTGACTCTGACAGCTTTGAATGTCGTCATGCTAAAAGACTTGCTTGAAAGATTTGAAAAAAGTTTGAAATGCCTTGAAGTTTGATGGTTTATACCAGGGGTGGCGAACGTCGGTCCTGGCGAGCCGCAGCCCTGCAGAGTTTTGCTTCAACCCTAATCAAACACACCTGAACAAGCTAATCAAGGTCTGAACGGTTATTAGGAAGCTACAGGCAGGTGAGTTTTAATTAGGGTTAGAGCTGAACTCTGCAGGGCTGCGGCTCTCCAGGACCGGAGTTCGCCACTGCTGGTTTATACGATGGATAAATTGATGGATGGATAGATAGATGACACCTATAGAAATTTGTATTTAGTGTATGTATTTCATCACATTTAATAACATAACTCTTGTGCATCAAGGTCAAAAAACACTTAATTTCCCAAAATTAATCAC